AGCAAAAGGATGGGTTTGGAAAGAGGCAAGCTCTCGGAGCACCCTGGTGTGGGGCTCAGGAGCCCAGCAGGAAGGCTGAGGAGATGGCAGACAATAAAGCTGGAGTGATGCTGCTCCTGTGCCACACATCAGCCCAACGGCACTCCTGAGCCCACCACTCCTCCAGGTGCCTCCCACGTACCTGCACCGCCCTGCAGCCCAGCAACAGCTCTTCCATCTCATCACATACCACAGCACATCCCAGAGCTGTCTGTGAAGACAGAAGTCACCAACCTGATCCTTCAGGCTTCCTCACCAGGAACCTTCCAGGAGTTTTCACCACCTGAAAATGCTCCAAACATGCCAGGAGACCTGGCTCTCAGGCTGCACAGCTTCAGCTATTATTTCAGTATTATTTCAGGTATTATTTCAGGTATTATTTCAGGTATTATTTCAGGTATTATTTACACATTGTTTTGGTTGTTTCAGAGTATGGCAAAGCCCAGCCTCTGTGCTGCATCACTCACTACCCAAGGCACACACATCACCTCCACAGCCCCATGAACCAGCACTGCCCTGTAACGAGGCTTTCCTGCTCTGTGTGTGGAAGTGATGGCACACACAGCACTAATCTTGCCAAAGGCCAGCAGGGCTCAGTGTGAATGGCAAAACCATGGTTTTACCTGGTGCTATGTGGCTGTTAAATCACACATGCAGGGGCTGTGTTCTCACCCTGCGTGCCACAGGCAGCTCAGCTCCTCAGCCCGGTGCCGCCTCTGACGTTCAGTAAATCACTGCATCTCAGCTCCCCGCCTCTGAAAACATGGGAAACGTCTTTTGCAAGACCTACGGCTGATGGCATTAGATCATTATGGAGAGGAAGAGCCCCGCCACTTCCTGAGCACGTACCAAAGAGAAAGCCCCTGCTCCCGGCCTTATCAGTCCATCACAGTCCTAGCTCTGACTGCTCAGAACATGTGAAGTGTTTAACAGAGATTATGGCAAATCCTAAATCGTTTAAACAAACTCAAACCCCAAGTCAGTAGACTCCTTTGGTCAATGAGATAATAAACCACAGCTTTGGAAAAGTCCCAGTGATGTCACTGCAGTTTCCACAGCTTTTCAACCACATCTCGCACAGAAGGCCACAGCGAAGACATTTCTGATTATATAAAATACATGGCAGAGCTAATTAAAAAACCATCTCTCCACTGAGAGAGGGACAGAAGAACAGCAGACACAGCAAGCTGTTTCCCATGAGCACGAGCCCAGGATCTCCATTTCCTCCCTCACTTCAGGGATGTTTTTCCAGATGGATTTTTGGAGGGACACAGGGTGCTTTGGCTGCACCAACTCACTCGTCCACAGAGCTGCTCAGCCATCAGCTCCGAGCTGCCTGCCCTAATTCCACACCAGGCACCTTCCCAGAACGGCAAACCACAAGCACCATCCTCCTTCCTCCTTCTCCACCAGGGGAACCATCACTCACGGGTTATCAGATGAGGCCAAGAGCGAGACCGAGAGTTTCGCAAACACGCCCCAAAGCACCAAGGATGCTGCAGAAAAAATCCACGAGCAGCCTTCACAGCCCTCAGCTCCCCAGCCCTTCTAAAGCTCACCAGTCCAGGTGAGGCTCTCCTGCTTTGAAGGTGAAGTCAGCAGCCAGGTCTGTTAATTTATTTTAGAGGAAACCTGCTCCACAAAGAGCTCCATCATGCAATGCATACAACAGAGAAAAACTCATCACCTGAAACACCAGTCCCCACTCTCCAGCCTGGCTTAGCTGCCATTTCCTTGTAGAATTAAGGCAGCCAGCCCAAAGATTAGTCTTAAAAGTGGAATTCGCAGCAGGCAAAGAGCCCTCACTCCCAGCCCCACCACTGCAGCCTGACCACAGCCAGCCCTGCCAAGTCAGGCCAGCAGTGACCTACATACAGCAGCCTCCACAGAAATTACAAGCCTAATTTTGCCTAATAATAAATCACACCAAGGTACAAGGAAGAAGGGGGTAAGGAACCAGGCGTTTCAGCTCCATTCATCACCTCTCCCCAGGCTTTCTGCTCCCACCCTGCAGCAGATCATCGAGTTTCAAACAGGGTCAGGTCACGGGTGACTGGGACCATCCGTGGCTGCTTCACACCAGATAATTCAGGGATGCCATGCTTCAGGTACCAAAAAGATACAATAAAATTGGGGGTTGGAAACAGAAAGATGAACAAGAATCTATATGAAAAGTAGAGGAATCTCTTGTTTTCACCCAGGTACTACACAGCAAGCAGAACTACCATCCATTAACTCTCACACAGCATCATTTTGTTTAATGATGTGTCTCTGCCATGGACTATTGCTCTGGAACGAGAAGAAAATTGGCCCTTATGTTTTCACTGCTGCTAGAACACTTTCCCCAAGCTCAAACTCTCCTGGAGCACTGAAAAGTTCTCTTCAGCAAAGTGGCTCTCAGCAAAACCCTTACCAAAAGCACCTCTTGATTTGGGAGGAAGAGCTTTAACAACACAACAGTTGCTCGTGACCCAAGAGGAAGCACAAGATGACCAGAAGACACCATTCACATCAGGGAGGGACACAACTGTGTCTCACCCTCCAGTGAAGGATTGCATTGTTATACAAGATTTTGGAACAGCAAACCTAAAGAATGACACTCCAAATGGAAAGGTTCACTGCACAACCAAAGCAGGCAGCAGACAGATTTCAGCTGTGGCTCCTGGCGATGGGCCATCAGGATTCTTTTAAGCATCATCTGAAACATGACAACTCGATGCAATCACTTCTGTGGATCCTGCTTTAGGTCATCTTTCCACTCTGCTGCAGCCCATGAGTAATTTGGACCCAAATACCTCTCCACAGGTCTGTAGCAGAGACGTCAGCCCGGCTGTGTACCCGAGGAGGGAATGAAGTCAGCACACATCATGTCTAGGGCAGTCACCCACACCAAGTTTGGGCTCTGCAGCTCAGTCCAAACATCCCAATGGAGTAAGGCAGTGCAGCTCACACTCGTGAGGGCAGGAGGAGTACCCACGGGCTCGTCCCAGAGCCAAACTCCCAGCAGAGCAGTTTGGAAGGTGCTGGAGGGAATCACTTACAGTAGCAGCTGTGCTGCTCTTTGAGAAGCCAGGGACACGTCCAACCACTCAGCTGAACTCGTCCCTCCCCATCAGGGACGCCAGGAGAGGCCAGGACAGGGGACAGGCAAGACAATCCCTTTTCCTACAAGAGACTGAGTGTCAAATATTCCTCACCCCGCAAGAGCCACATGGACACTCTGTGTCACCCTCCTACATCCCAGCCCTGCACTCCAGGAGGTTTTCAGAAGCCAAGGGACCCGTGTGGCACGTGACACAAACCCTGACCCCTCGCTCTGGCACGGGCAGGGTGACAGCAGCGGTCCCGTGCCCCAGCCACGGCGGGCAGAGGAACCTCCGGCCTCGGCCTCCTCCTCCTCCATCCTTCCTCTTTCAGGGCTGCGAGAGGGAAGTGCTGGGATCTGTGCTTTAAATATGTGACTCAACTTCAGAGGCGAGGAGGAGCCCGTCTGTCAAAACAGAAGAGGATTTCGCTAATTTTCAACCCGATGAGATGACAACACAATGTCACCCCGGAGTACGACGCGGGGCGGCTCATGAGCAATGTCTTCGGCATTTCTGAAGGAAAAGCCAAACTTCTATCACCTAACTGACCTCACTTCCTCAACCACAGACATTCAGCACCGTACCCTGCCCACCCCACCACCTCTGCAGCACAACTTGTACCCCTAAAGCCCCACCTTTGTTCCCTCTCTCGGGTTAGGAACCCCAGACACCAACAGAGGGGCAACTCTAAACACAAAAGAAGTGGGGTTACGGGTTTAGGTGGGAGTTACAGGTTTAGGTGAGGGTTATGGCTTTAAGTGGGGTGTTTTTAGCCTTCCCAGTTCTCGGGGTGACGCCAAGGATTGGAACAGCTCATGTGTGGGCGCAAATTGCACGGATGCTGGAGAACACGGCGCTCCCAGCCAGCAGCCAGCCTTGCTCCCGCGTCACCCGGCGTGTCAGGAGCCATTCAAACTTCCCCAAGCCTGGCTGGCAGGGAGACACGCTCCCCTCTTTGCCCAAAAACCTCGTTCGAAAACAAGGGGAAGGGCCGCATCACCCAGAGCGGGCTCAAACACACCCTGTAGCGCTGTTTATCCACGCCTGTCAAAGAGAAGCAAGTTAGGGACAAGGGGTAACATCGTAACGCTGAAATATTCCCGGTGGGAAGCGGGGCACCACAGTCGCTCGCTGTTAGAGCCGGGAGGGGACACGGAACGGGGACAGCGAGCAGCTGGGGGTGCTCACACCACACACCACGAACGCCCCACGGAGGGAACCCCACATCCCCCGGAGTGTCCCCCACCCTCGGGGATGCATTCCAAGATGTGCATCCCCCGGGGGGATCCCAGCCAGGCCACGGTCTCCTCTCCACTCCTGCTCCCCCTAAACCCCCTCGGGCTACGAAGATGTCATTTCGCTTCGTTTCCCACTACAAAGCTGGAAAGCCGCGTCTCGCTGCTCGTAATGGGGGGAAAAAGACGAGATTAAAGCGCGGCCGGAGGGGCGGGCGGCAGCTCATTGTCCGGCCGGCCCCGCTGCCGCCGATGGCCCCCCCGGGACCCCCTTCCCCGGCAGCAGACACCTTCCATCACTGTCAGCAGCGCCGCTGCCGCTGCCCGGCCCCTCCCGGCCCCGCGCCCGCGCGGTCCCCGCGTCCCCCCCGGTCCCCGGCGCGGGGTCCCCGCGCACCTTGAGCGCGAACTTCTCGCCGCTCTTCTTACTGAAGATCTCCAAAACTTTCCCGTTGATGCCGAGCCCCAGCACTTGCGTGGTGACCTTGTAGTCGTCCGTGATGGCATTCTTCCGGATCTGCAGGCCGCCCTTCCCCGGGAACGGCGGCGGCCCGTGCGGGGGAGCGGCGGGCGGCGGCGGCGGCGGCGGCTGCGGCGGCGGGTCCCCCCGTCGCTCCCTCCCCCGGGCCGCAGCCGGGGGGTGAAGCAGCAGCGCCGCCGCCGCCGCCCCCCGCCGGTGCGCCCCGGCCCCGACAAGAGCGATGGCTCCGGTGCGGCGGCGGCTCCTCCTCCGCCTCCTCCTCCTCCCGCCGGCCCGGCTCTGATGTCAGCGCCCCGGCCGCCGGGGGAGGGACGGGGCGGGGCGGCCCCGGGGCTGAGCCTGCGCCCGCCGGACCGGCCCCGCCGCTGCCCGAGGGGCGCCGGGGGGGGTTGGTCCCCCAGGGGTACGGGAGACCCCCGGCCCCACCACCGCCTGTGTCCCCGGTGCCCTGGAGCCGGAGGTGGGATGGCAACAGGTCGCGGTGTTGCCGGTGACGCTCCGGTGACAACAGGAAAGACTGCTGGCAAAAGCGTGGAGCGACAGGACCGGGGGAATGGGCTCAGGTTTGAAGAGAGAAGGGTTAGGCTGGATATTAAGAAAAAAAAATCTTCTCTGTGAACCTGGGGATGCCCTGGCACAGGATGCCCAGAGAAGCTGTGGCTGCCCCATCCCTGGCAGTGTCCCAGGCCAGGCTGGAGCAAGCTGGGACAGTAGAAGGTGTCCCTGACCATGGCAGGGGTGGAGTGAGATGATCTTCCACGTTCCCTCCAACCCAAACCATTCTGTGATTGCACTTTTCAACCAGTAACTGCATCCCATCCATGCCTGGCGTCTCCTCTCTGTCCCGAGAGCATCCTGAGGTGACAAAGGGCTGCTCTGAGGATGCTGGTGCCCAACACCTCATCCACCATCGCTCCCTCTACAGCCACTTCCCAGGAAGGCAAGGGGTGTAACCAGCACCACAGCACAGAGAGCACCAGGGCATGGGAAGCAAGTCCAAGAAGAGAAAAGCCTGATATCAGCCTGATATCATCAGCCATGTCCTGATGGTAACAAATTAACTCCTATGTCCCTGTTCATCCCAGAATCCAGCAAAGATGAGGCTAAAAGAGAAGAGATCTACACTGAGGTGCAACCTGCCCTTGAGCTGCCTGACATCCAGTGAGCATTCCTTCTGCTGGAGCGTCACAGGAAATCAAGGTATTTCATTTATGGATATAAAGGACACCCTGATAATCCCTGTTTTCTAAGTAAAGAGCATGTGTTTTCTGACATCCATCCCTCTCGCCCAGCTGTCCCACAAAAGGCAGGGAGTGTGCCCTGAGGAAGGGATGAAGGAACATCATGGTACACAGGATCTACACCATGTCCTCCACAAGCAGCTGCCGCCACAAGAAAGAAGAATCCAGGTCCTAAAAAGGGACAGGACAGTGAAGGGCAGGACAGGGAAGGGCACGCTGTGGCCTCTGCGTGTCCCTACACACAGGCAAGGCCACCCTGCAGCAGGAGCCATCTGCTCCACCTCTGCCACCTCAGCACCTTCTGAGATCAATAAAATCCTCTCAGGTTTTTTAATCAAGCCAATAAAACTGCTCCCAGTTTTACACAGGCAGTTCTTCCCCCGTGGCTGATCAATAGCTGGGTGAAGCAGCGGATCCAGCTAATCAAAGTACGTCATTAGCAGCAAGAGACTGAGCGTCTGTCAGGAGGTGGCAGTGACAGTCACCAGATGGGAGAGTGAGTAAACCTACACCAGGCGCTGGCAGCTTTATAAATAAAACTCTTGTCGAGCTCCCCGTGCCTCTCCCTGAGTCCTGAATTTCCCTGAGAAACCTGGAGAGCAGCAGAGGCCTTCCCCCGCTCCTGGCTGAGCGTTGGCTGTGAGATTTCCCTCTTGGAGAATGGATTCTTTCTGGGCCTTGCAGCATCTCCCAGAATCTGATCCTGCACCCTCCACCCCAGCTAACAAGGTGTTTTTGGGGTGGGAGTTAAATCCTACAGACCCTGTAAGCACAGATCAAAGCTGCTTCAAAGCTGCTGCTCGGTGGGGTTTTCCCAGCTTTGGCGTCCCCTGGCTTGGGCTGGTCTCAGCACGTCTGGGGAAAGGAGCCTTTCAAGCCAAGTTTTTCTCCACAGAGGAATCTGGTCAAAGGAAAATGACTGACCCATTTCGTTGCTCCATTTCCTTTAGTTTCATTCATATTTGCTTTGTAACCCGACCCTTCAGCTATTTCAAAGATAAACAGCAGTCCAGAGGAGGCACAGTTTGGGAGCCTCGGGTCCTGGGTTTCCCATGGAGTCCTCCTTGGTTACTCACCCGAGGCGAGGGCTGGGCTGGCTCCTGCTCACAGCCTGGGCCCCCTGGAGCTGGGACAGCAGAGCCCCACTTCCCTCTGCCTGCAGACTTGGGGGAGTCAGGAAACCACATCAATTAATCACAGAATTGTGGCAAGGTTTGGGTTGGATGACTTTAAAGCTCATCCAGTCCCACCCCTGCCATGGCAGGGACAGCTTCCACTGTTCCAGGTGGCTCCAGCCTGGCCTGGGACACTCCTCCTCTGTGACAGGGCCTCCCCACCCTCACAGGGAAGAATTTCCTCCTATACCCAATCTAAACATCCCATCTTTTAATTTAAAACCGTTCCCCCTGTCCTGTCACCAAGCCTCTTCAGGACCTTTTCATTCACCTTAATTTCTAAGGTAAATCTGATGCTTCCAGGGAGTTTGTCCTTGCTCTGTTTCAACTCGTGCTTGTTGATCAACTTAAGCTTTCTCCTATAAATTCATGTCATGGGGACAGATGTTTCTCTCCATCATTGCACCTTTCACAAGGTAATTGCAATGACAATCTTCTGCTGGAGCCAGTGGGAAGCAGTGAGCCAGTCGGTGTGAATTTAAGAAATAAAGAATTTATTAAAGAAATAACCGTGCAGGGGCAGGCAAGAGAAAGCCCAGTGTGACCATAAATATTTAATTTGCAGTTCTCTGCCCCTTACAGCGAACCTGAGCAGCGGAGCCTCGGTGAGACAGAATTAGCGAGATTTCCCCAAAATGATCCAATCTCTGCTACAGACGGGACAGAGGGGTGCCGGCTCCGTGCTCCGGGGTGTCGGGACTCCCTGCCCGGCTCGGAGCCCATCGCCCCGAGCCACCACGAGGTGGCCCCCGGGCCCCGCCGGGCCCGGTGCGCCCGGGGCCGCGGGACGGGAGCGGCGCGGAGGCTCCGGGGGTGTCACAGGACACGAAATAAAACGACGCGGATACAGGAATGGTAAGGTAAGAAGAAGGGAAGTTTATTTTATGATTCTAATATTTATAGACTGTCAAAAGTGACAGTGGATTGGAGGATGAAAGTGCCACTTCTCCAATGACGCTGGACAAACTAACAGTCCATTAAATTTGTCCTCCTCTAGAGGGGAATGTAAAAGCAATAATTATTTACATAAAAGTGCGTGAGAAACCTCATTACAAGAATGGAAACATCAGAAGGCTTAGAAGAACTTTGAAGCGACACTCCGGGGTCCCCAGCCCTGCTCGGGGTGGGGACCCTGAGGTGCCACCTCTCCCCTGGCTCAAAGAAACTGTCCTGGTTCTCCCCACAGCACGTGTTCCCGGGGGAATGGGGTCAGAGGAGGGTTAGGCTGAACCTTCTGAACTTTCTGAACCTTCTGGATAGCAGAAGGTTCTTCCCCCAGAGGGTGGTGGGGGCCCACATCCACCCAGTGCCCTTCCCACACACCCCACGGATTTACACAGCAGAGGAAGAGCCACCATGTGGGGTCCAGCATGGGAAAAACCCATCAGATTTTGCTCCCTTTTTGTCAAAAAACAAACAAACAAACAAAAACAAAACAAAACATCCCCCCACCAAAAAAAAACCCCAAAAACAAAACAAAAAAAAAAAAAACCCCAATAACAAAACAACAAAAATCCCCAAACAAACCAACTCAAAAAACCCTCTATGAACACCAAACCCAGTGGCAGTGACCTCCAGTTCTCAGCCAGGAGAAAAATCATCCAGATGAGAATGGAAACTGATTTTTCCCTCCTTGCACTCCCATTTCCACTGGGGAACAATCACTGGCTGGCAGCAGGCTCAGCCTTTACATGACAGAAGTGGCTGATCCATGAACGTGCTCTCCATGGCAAGTAATAAACCAGACTGTTATTTAATTTTAGCAGAGTTACCAGGAAAAATACACCACGAAGATGAGGGTAATGATCATTAAGGCTCTGTGCATCCTGTTCTTCTCCCTGGGTGGATTTGTGGGAGCACAAAGCTGGTGAAAAGTTATCCCACCTAAAAAATGATAATTCCTTTAAATAATCTTTTTAAGAGAGGGGTAATAGAGTTGAAAAGATGCTGTTAATCACCATTACAACTATCAATGCCACCTGTAAAGCAACGGAAGGATGGAAATAAGCACAGGAGGCAGCACTGGAAGTTGCACCGAGGTTTTTTTCCAGCGTTCCCGGAGCTCCAGCTCAGCTCCCGGCAGCTGCTCCGCTCTCCCAGGAAGCGGCTGCATCCCCGTGCCTGGAAGTGATCCTTGTGCCTGGCTTGCAAATCTATTTATAAAGCACTGTGGGATCCTTCAGGATGAAAGGAGCTATTCTAACTGGCGTTTATTTCCCAAAAAATGCAACCACAAACTTTCTCACGCTGCTTCACCCAGGACGAGTCTGAGAAATCACATTTTTATGGAGACCCTCTCTCCCACTGGGGCACGGGGTGGGTCTGGCTGGCAGCACCAGCCCCTTGCCAGGGATATTTACCCCGGGCATCACCTTTCTGCGGCAGCAGGAGATGGAGCGATGCCCCTTGGCACACGGTGGGAAGAGGCAGCAGCTCCAGGGCCGGGATTCCCGTCGGGGATTATCACCCCCGGGCTCCGGCGTTGCTCACATTCCCGAGCGGGACGGCTCCCCAGCCCCTTCCCGCTGGGCATTCCCGAGCTGAGCCCATGATTGCGAGACATGTCAGGAAATACTGCTCGGGATTAGAGCTGTCTGCCTGCTGGGGATGAGGATTTTCCTGCCCCTTTCCCGGCCAGCCCGGTGCCAGGCACAGGGCACAGGACAGGGGACACAGCACGGTCCCTGGACTCAGCAAGGCCTAAGGCACAAACCAGCATGTCCTGGGTGTCCACCTCAATCAGTGACCCCCCATCCAGGGAGGGTTTAGCACAGGGCAGGAGAACACTAAAAGCACAAAAAAAATCCCCCAGCACTGACCCCTTGCTCTGCCTTTCCCAACACAAGGATTTTTCCAGCTGGAAACTGGATGCTGATTCATTGCCCACCAGATGATGCCAAATGTACTTCCCCAAGTGACAGTCACAAAAACCACCACTCACAAATACAGAAATGTACAGGCCCTGAAATAATTGGCTTTTAAAGGGATGGAGCCCAGCTGACAGGTGAAACCACAGAACCCACACCAGGAAAAACCCAAGGCACAAGCTGGGGCAAAGGGAGCTGGCTTTAAGGCCAGCACCGCTGTCCCTGGATGGCAGGTCACCCCCTGCCACAGAGGGGTGACAAGGTAACACCCTGGAGCAGGAGGAGGATTTTCCCACCTCCTGAACTCAGCCTGGCACAGCCCCTGAGCCCTGCATGTGCCTCCTGTCCGTGCCACCTCCCAGAGCCCTTCTGTCTGCTGGCATCCACGCATAACCCGAATCCCCCTGCTCTGCCAGCTCAGAGGAGGCATTTGACTGACAAGATTATGGAGATTAGCCCCATTAGCATAAGCAGCTCCTGGGCTGGCCCTAATCCAGAGGGACATATGCAGCCCATGCTGCTGCTGCTGCCCTGGCTGGCCAGGTGGACTTGTGGCAGCTGGGGGACACGACTGTCACCCATGTCCCCGTGCCAGGGTGGGCACTGTGTGCCGGCAGGGAGACACAGACCCTCCCAGCTCAGCCCAGCCCCTACAATGGGCTGGCCACACTGGGACAGGGGTTGGGGACAGTCTGAGAAGTGGCAGTGACCCCACCCCAGCAGCACAGCCCTGGGTGAGGGGCTGGGGACAATCCCAGAGGTGGCAGTGACCCCACCCCACCAGCACAGCCCTGGGTGAGGGGTTGGGGACAATCTGAGAGGTGGCAGTGACCCCACCCCGCCAGAACAGCCTTGGGTCGGGATTTGAGGACAATGCGAGGGGTGGCAGTGACCCCACCCCAGAACAGCCTTGGGTCGGGGTTTGGGGACAATCCGAGGTGGCAGTGACTCCACCCCAGCAGCGCAGCGCTCCTGCCCCGCACAGGTGCTGCGGACAGCGGGGCTGGCGGGGCTGTGTCGGGGCCGGCCGGGCTGTGTCGGGGCTGGCCGGGCTGTGTCGGGGTTCCTGCGCAGGCTGAAAAACCCTTGGGCCACCGAGGGAGGCTAAAAGCGGCCGGGTCAGGGCGAGCAGCTGCCGGGGCCGGGCCGGGGGGACCGAGCTCGGCGGGGCCGGAGCCCCCCGTGCCCAGCGCAGCGGGGATTGCATTGCACAGCCCGGAGCTGGCATGCGGGCCGGCCAGAAATAAACCTGTGTGTGTAGCAACTGCAAACACAGCAACGGCACGAGGTGAGACGGGACTCTGGTTTGGGTGTGTGTTTGGGGGGGTTTTTTTGGTTGGTTTCTTTTTTGGGTGGGAGAGATTTGTTGTAAAAGGTTTTTGACTGGGATGTGAGCTCCTAAAACATCCACGGGCTGCAAGTGGCAGCAGGATGGCTCCATGGGGGTATGGGGCTCCCAGCAGCATCTTCACTGCCTTTTCATGTACCAAGGTGGAGCTCTCTCTTTTGGGTGTTTGTTCGGGGGGTTTTTTTGGTTGGTTTCTTTTTTGGGTGGGAGAGATTTGTTGTAAAAGGTTTTTGCTTGGGATGTGAGCTCCTAAAGCATCCACGGGTTGGCAGTGGCAGCAGGATGGCTCCATGGAGGTCTGGGGCTCCCAGCAGCATCCTCACTGCCCTTTATGTACCAGAGGCTTTGGGATGCTGGGGTGAGTGGAGAAATGCTGGATACAGCACAGAGCAGAGCCAGCAGGACGCAGGGACAGGCTGGAACCAGGTGTATCCCAATATTTGGGAGACATCACTGACCTTGCTGTGTTCTATTCCCTTTCCAGCTGTTACTGCACCTTGTGGACAGGGAAAGGGAGTCAGGAATGATTTGGGCTGCTTCAGATGGAGTCAGGAGCCAGGACTGTGCCCACAGAGCCCTGCAGTGGCACAATCCAGGAGGACAGAGCAAGCTCCAAGGTCAGCAGACAGAAAACAGGGAAGATGGCCTGACTGAAGTGTCCAAACGAGTTATGTATAAAATATCCTTCCTGCAAGCACAGGATGAAGCACAAGGTCACCCCATGGCTGGGACAAAGCAGTGACAAAGCTCCCACCTCCCACACCTGCCAGCCCTGCTGCTGGTGGCACTTAATCCCCTGGCAGTGCCCTGTGGGAAGAGCTCTGCAAATGGCATCAGGGAGACAGGGAAAGGGCTGAAACTGGGCCCACCAAAAGCTGCATTTGTTGTGGCCCTGTGGGAAGGTAAAACATCTTTCTGTAACGCTGCCAGAAAGGGCCGTGGAACAAGACCAGAACCTGAGAAAGCAGCTCAAAAAGGCCAATTTGTCCAGACCCAGCAGTGCAGGTGATGCATGAAGCTCCAGTTTAGTTTAATAGGGGAAGAAAAATCATCAAGGAATATTTAGAAAGGTTTGTGTCACTCTGGTGCATTTCCCATCACATGAGGATGTGTCAAAGGACCACGCTCAGTCCTGCCAGTGCTGAAGAGGAGCCTGGAAATAGTTACAGCAAAGCATGTGATCCATTAGACAGGGGAAAAGAAGAAGAAAAGGCAGCTTGGATATTCTCTCTTACCTCTCCTGTCACCTTTTTGCTCCTCCTGGAAGCACAGCCAGTGTCCCTGATGAGGAATGAGGTGGCCAGGGAGGTGAAACGCTGTGGCCAGGCCGTGTCACCAAGGCCTCGTCAGCTCAGCTCCACGCAGCTGGCACTGCTAAAACCTCCTGAATCAGCACCAGCTGGCTGGAAAATGAAAGCTGGCCTGTTTGCTCCCCTCTTGCACCTCCCAAAATATCCAGCAGCTTCCCTCTCCTGGTCCCCTCTGACCACACACACCCCCAGCAATCAGCGGGCACTGCCAGCCTGTCCGGCCTCCTGCTCCCTGTGTCCCACCAGTAACCACCTAAAGTGGGCATTTTTGAAGATCACCAGGCTGCAAATGTCTGAGAAGTGCTGGAGAACACAGCTCCCCCCTCCCAGGGCCCAGGGTCCCGTGGGGAGGTCATGAGGTGCTGTGGGGCACATCCAGCAAGGAGGAAAATCATCTCAAACCACCCTCATTGTTTCCACTTTTATCTCATCCAAAGAAGAAACAGAGCATAAAAAGGTGGGCAGCACATTTCTCCAGGCTCCTTCAGAAGTCTGAGGAGCTGCAGGAGCTGCCCAGCTCCAGCTTCTTTCTGTCCTGGGTCAGACAGGACTCGACAGCATCCAGCCCAAACCATGCCAGAGGCTGAGCTCCACGCAGGACAACAGCAGTGAAGGGAATTGTGCAGGGAATCTGCAGCTCCTGTCTCAGAGAGTCAGCCTCAGACAAAAAAAAAAAATCATCCCCCTCTGCTTGCCTTGCAAACTTTTTAACAATCAGGTATTTGTTGTTCACTGACATTAAAATGAGGTAAAAATTCACTGTGTTGTCTGCACACTCTGTGTGTGTAACACACATGGTTTAATCACCCAGGTTGTAGCTGGAGACCTTTTATTGGAGCATGATTTCATCTTCAAACCATCCCAATATCCACTTGTGTACAGTAAGTTACCCATTTATAGGTTTCTAATAAAAGCAAATCTTCCCTAAGTGGCTATTACTGGATTTCTCCTCTCAGCCTGGGGATAAGCAGGATTCTGGGCTTTAAAAAGCTCTCTAGTGGGCTGAATAAGAAAGTGACAACTGAAGAATGTCATGGCAAAACTCTGGTGTGTTCTAATTACAGCACTGTTAACGAGGGGAACATTTGTCAGACCAGAGCTTCATCACGTTTAGCACAGACACAGAAACCTCCCACTCACAGTGACAATTTTCTCTCCTCTCTAGGCAGATGCCACAGGAGGTGGTGTCTGCCAGCACAAGGTAACTTCCACCATCTGGAAATAATTATTGTTTTCCTTTTTAATCAAGGACTTTAAGGAATTTGCACACTCGATTGCTAAAGAAAATGATGTGTTTATTTTCTTTTAAAAATGACCCAAAGTACAACTTCAAGAAATCTGCTCATTACATTTAGATACATAGTTTGAGACTGACTGATTTCCAGAATGTTCCTCCACAGTTATATCCACATGTACCTCCAATGTTTTCCACATTCCCCACCCTATCGCACCTCATCACAATATTTCTAATAAAAAGGCAAACCTGCAGACTCTGAGCACGCTGACATTTAGCTGGAACATCTGCAATGTGTAAGAGCCCCTGAACAGGAACGTGGCTGAAGTGAGGCAGATGGAGGCTGCTAAAACCCTGAGTGCTGTGTGTGGGGAGGCTCTGGGACAGCACAGGCTGCCTGACCCTGCCAGCCCCTCTGGTTTGGAATTAAAAAATCCAGGAAAATGTTCTGGAGCCATGGATTTCACCTGGTACAGAGGGAGTTACAGAGCTGGAGGCATGCGTGGCGTTTTGGCCTGCCTGTATTTATCCGTGCTCGTGGCTTTGGGAGCAGAGGAGCTCTGGTGTAAATCACTTGCACGACCTTTCCTGTTTGATGACTTTACAGCTGGCTGCTCACACCTCACATATAATTCCATTTATGCCATCCATCATTAGCACCTGCTGGAGAGCCTGGCAGCTCCTGTGGCTGCTGCTGCTGTCACAGGGGGCTGTGGCAGTGGCAGGACACAGGACGGGGTCACAGGGAGGTGGCACTGCCCTGCAGAGCCCCGGGCAGGGCAGGACACGGCCAAGGACCTGGGGCATTCTTGGTCAGACCTGGCACAGGATTAAATTAAATCCCTCTTTTGTCTTCTCCTCATTTTCCACCCACTTTGAGCTCTGAGGCTCTTGCTGAGTGTGGCAGGGAAATAATTTTCCCAACTCCCTACGGGATCATCCTCACGTGGGTGCCCACCACAAAGCCCTTGGAGGCCACAGCAGCTGAGCTCCACTCTGCCAGCACCTTCTTGGTTCTGAGCTCTGGCATTTCCACGTCCTCAGCAGCTGCCTCACAGCCAAAAACCACGCAGGGCAAGACCTGGCTGTGTCATTTCTCATCTGGAGAGCCCCTCGCCCACATCCCCCCTACCCAACACACTGCAGGTGAGGTGTTCCCGCAATTAAAACGGAATAAATTCCTATTAAGTCCAGCCCGGATTGTGTCACAGCAGCCCTTTCTGTGGGCTAATCAGGCATGTGCTTTATTGCTCTCAACCCCTTCTGGGCTATGCTTAATTACATTTAATAATTATAATCCCGCTCCTGCCTTCCTAGCTCCAGCCCGGCAGCCAGCACAGCAATCCCGGCGATAGCGCTGTGCTTGTGGAGCCGAATTCCGGAGCTTCCGAGCCGGCAGCAGGAATGCAAACCCTTACATGGCTCTGCTCCTCTGCCAGCGGCTGCCTCTCCCCGGCCTTTAGAAAGCTCCTCTCAGCGTTTAAGAATGGACAGACTTAATTCGGGCAGCTATTCCATCCCCGCAGACAAAGGGAACGAGCCGGAGCGCGCTTAAGGAGCAATTATTTAAATCCCCGTGTCTGCGAGAGGCGGGGAAAGCTGCTCCTGCCAGCAGTCCCCTCTCCCGACAGCCACAAACCAAACTCTCCTGCCACTCCTTATAAGTTCAGCTTTCCCCAGATGTCTCTGTCTGCATCTGCACCCAGGAAATCACATTTGTCATTCCTCTATAAACTCTGGAGAGAGAGGGATGGGACCACAGGAAGAAAATCCGGTCAGAATATGAGTTTATTCCTGGGTTTTACACCCAAAATCCAAGTGAAGAGAGCAGTCTTCACAGGGAAAGGCGTTTCTGAGCATCTGTGCACGTGGCTGTCCCAAGAAGTGTTTGCAAAGCTCATTAGGGCAATTTGACAAGAGGAAAGAAAACAAACCCCGAGCTGCCACCACTCCCTCCTTGCCTGAGCCACTGAGCTTACAAAAACCATCAGATTTCTGTAATCATCCCAGCACCAGCCCTCCGAGCCTGCTCGCTGGTGCTTAAAGAAAACATGATTAGGGGCAAAATTCTCCTCTTTGGTTCACACAGCCATGGGCAGGGACACCTCCCTGGAGGGGTCCAATGGCTGGGCAGTGGTCTGGGTGACGAGGTGGGGATCAGGCACAGGGTGGAACTGATGATCCTGGAGGGCTTTTCCAGCCTCACGATTCCAGGATTCTGTGAAGCACCAAATATAAAATCACAGTGCCCAACACCAAAGCTGCCAGGTACCCACAGCTCTGAGCACGCAGCACGTGCAGAAGCCCCAGGATTTTTCATTGAAGTCTCTGAGCACAGTTTGTTTTCAGCCTCAGCTGGTGCTGCACACAAGGCCCACAGATCTTTCCATATTATTTCGGCTCTCCACTTCCACAACGGAATTAAACTTTGGCAGGCAGGGGATTTGTATCATTTCAGCAGAGATCTCTGGGTGCAGCATCAGCCTTTTGCTTGTGTGCCTGGGATTAGCAAGACATTGCTGAGATCATCATATATATGTTTCACAGCCAGGACAGCTTTTGGTATTAAACAAGAAAAAAACCCAGGAGAGCTGCAGCCTGCAGCCCTTTAGAAAGGACCCTGTGTTTGTTTGAGAGGTAGTTCTGAAGATGATCATCACTGCAAAGAAGTTCTGCAACTGCTTAAAAAGTTTTCAATTGCAAGAGGTAAAAAAGATTGTAAGCAATCACTCACTCTTCTACAAATTTATATTAAATCTGTCCCATTAATCTGCTGTGAATTCTTGGGTCACTGGTCAACCAGGATTGCCATTCCAGCAGGCTGTGAGGATAAAAAACACCAGTGAGGAGCCTGTGGTACCCAGAAAATCTCTAGATTTAGGTTTGTGTCTTTTAGATGTGCTGCTCATGCATTGTCATTGATTTATATAAAAACACTGCTGAGCCAAACAGCTGGAACTGCAGCCAAAGAACATTTGTTATTTGCACCTCTCACAGGGCAGTAAAACACTCTAAGGAACATTTTAAAACAGGTTTGGGTGACTTTTAGAAATGCAGTGCCTGATTTGCTGTAAACACAAGTGATTTGCATGTGTGCTGAGGTAACTCCTGAGGAGAACAGGACCGAGGTGCCACTGCTGGCAGCTCAACAAAGCAAAGCTCCCTCAAAACCAAAACCTGCTCTTTATCTATTCAGACATTGCTCATTTTAGGCGGTTCACACAGCCATGGGCAGGGACACATTCCCCTGTCCCAGGAGGCTCCAAGCCCCACCAGCCTGGCCTGGGACACTTCAGGGATCCCGGGGCAGCCACAGCTGTGCCAGGGCCTCCCCACCCTCCGTGAAGAATTTTTCCCTAACACCCAATCTAACCCTTCTCTCTTCCAGTTTGAAGCTCTTCCCTCCTGTCCTGTCACTACAATAATTAACAATAATTGGAATACACCACAGGAGTAACAAACTCCAGGCTTCTGCTCCCATAATGAGGGGTTTGGAACACAAACCATGTGAGGAACCACCGAGGGAGCTGGGGGGGCTCAGCCTGGAGAAAAGGAGACTCATTTGTGCAGATTCAGGTTTTTACCAACATCCCTCAGCAGGATTTTGCCAGGCAGAAAGACACGGGCTCAGCTTTGGTGTTGGATTCCCCAGCCCTCCACTGGCACCAAACATTATTTCCCCTCCCAGCTCCTGGTGCAGCTCAGACAGCAGAATTTGGGAGACAATCCCTTATCATGTTACATCAACAAGCATTACAGCAGGGCAGATAAGCTTATTTTTTTAATCTGAGGTGCTGTGCTTGAGAAAATGCCACTCAGAGAGTGTCCTGTGGACTCATGGCAGGCTGAACACAGAGCTACACATTTATATACATATACCATAAACAAAGACATCTAAATATCTACATATATATTGTTTTACTGTTTTCAGCTTGCAAACTTTTTAACAATCAGGTATTTGTTGTTCACTGACATTAAAATGAGGTAAAAAGGCTGTGAGGATAAAAAACACCAGTGAGGAGCCTGTGGTACCCAGAAAATCTCTAGATTTAGGTTTGTGTCTTTTAGATGTGCTGCTCATGCATTGTCATTGATTTATATAAAAACACTGCTGAGCCAAACAGCTGGAACTGCAGCCAAAGAACATTTGTTATTTGCACCTCTCACAGGGCAGTAAAACACTCTAAGGAACATTTTAAAACAGGTTTGGGTGACTTTTAGAAATGCAGTGCCTGATTTGCTGTAAACACAAGTGATTTGCATGTGTGCTGAGGTAACTCCTGAGGAGAACAGGACCGAGGTGCCACTGCTGGCAGCTCAACAAAGCAAAGCTCCCTCAAAACCAAAACCTGCTCTTTATCTATTCAGACATTGCTCATTTTAGGCTACTTCCAACATTCTCAGCAGCAGCACAGCTAACGATGTGATGGTTTCTGGTGA